TTTTTTTCCGGGTCGATCTGAGACAATTTTTTTTCGGGGCTCAAAAAAAGGCAGTGTATAACCTTTCTTTTTTACCAAAAATCGACTGCACCAAAATTTCTCGGGAAAACACTTTTTCTTATTAATTTTGGTGCGTAGAATCCAAAACAAATCGTACTTTTTCGATCGGATGTCTCAATCAAAAGTTTTAATTATCAGCTGCAATTTAAAAAAAAACTGTATTGTAATTGATTTCCGAAAAAGGAGTACTAAAATGAAGCTTTAATGGCCCGTAACCTATGCAATTCCACCTGGCCCGTAAGTACCCAGTCCGCCCCTGATCATGCCTAACCTCATTTTTCATTAATGGAACACCTTCTTTTTCTAAAAAGATAGCATATTAATTCCCTTTTCAAAAATATACCATAGTAGGATATTAAAAAAAATTCAAGTGATTCAAAAAATTCAAAAAAGATTAAAAATATTAAAATATAAAAAATAAAAAAAATAATTACAAAAAGTTTTTAAAATCTTTTTGAACCAATATTGAATCATGGCTCATTGTTAATTGGAATTTCTCAGGTCATCATAAAGGTCTCTTATCGACCTGATAATGGCGTGAACCTGCATGCCTTGCAGTGTTAATGCTCGTTTTAAATTAACATACGAAACAAAAACCTGCTAATAATGGCTTAACGGAGCTGAAATGCGAAAATATTAATTTGCCCTCGTCGCAACACCTCTGATCGGCACTTATTCTTAATGCGCTCTCATTTTGTTTTCGATAGCAAAGGCACGACGATGTAGTTAAATTGATTTTATTAGTGTTATAGCACTTAAATTAATTATTAATTCAATCGTGGGTTTACACCAAATGAAAATATGACCATATATTGAAATTTTGATCAGTCGTCGATATCATCCTTCAGACAAATACATCTTTGATTCATTGAAAAAATCCCGTTTGCTCCAATAATCCCCTTAATGGTAAAATTTGAACAGGGAAACAATTAAAAATTTATAATTTACATATTTGACTCAGTTAGAAGACTTTCGATATTTAATATTGTACTGCAACATGGAGGTCAGTTTTTTATTGGTGAGGTTAAAACCTTTAAGAAAATGTGAAGAAGTTCTGAAGAATTGTGGAAGAAGAAGAACTTCAAACTTAAATAAATGTATATTTCGAAGGATTCCCCGGAGAGACAGTCAATATATCAGAATGGTCTATGAAGGAAGAGTAACGACAGACAGAGGAACAGACCAAATTTTCATAAATTACCTATTGCATTTAATAAAGCAAGGAAGTGCGTACTTCGATGTATCTATACCGTAATAGTTTTTGGCAGTGTCCACTTCCGTTTCGCGGCACGAATGCTAATTAGGCAAGTATGTACCTACGTAATTTAATTGAAATAGTGAATAGGTTACAGCAGCTGTTTTCGGAAAAGTACAAAAAGTTTTTACTTATTGCATTCTTTTTTTAAAAATCTTTTAGTAAATTCAATTCATTCTGGGGTAACCCATTAGACACAAATATTTAATAAATATGCGTCCTCCTCCTCGAAAATCGAGGAATAATTATAATTACTCATGGCTCAAACGATTCGATAACCTCTAATAACGCAATACACGCCACAATTCGATCACATTTTGTTTTTCCTTTAAATAAACAATCAATGTGTCCATTAAAGCCGCGGACTACCTACTCTACAATATTGATTAACTGCAAATAGCTGCCGTATGTGACTCACTCTAATTCCAAATATTCGCGTAGACTGTCGGAAATTTTCTTTACAAGAAAAATGTGTCATTAGCAGCTGTAATACAATCAATTTGTCTTGGAAAACTTTATGAAATCGAAATACCAACACAATAAAACAATTTGGCACAAAACGATAAGGATGAGAGAGATTTTTAATTAAAAAGCAAATATGACTACTTACCATATGATTATTATTGTTAAATATAAATATTTTGTCATACCGTGATGCAATAAAGCTTGGAACTAACACCGCAGATCACCAAAAAATTCATTAAGTACTTCTTCGGCATTGGGGACGTTTTCTCGACGAAATTGATGCCCGATTTCAAAAAACAGGTGATCGGTCACTTTCAGATTAAGCAGTGCATAGCGAGCGATTTATAATCTGCGCCCGCTCTAGGGAAACTGGATGGGAGCTGAGAATGTTGGGAGAAATGGAGAGCAACTGGGGAAAAGATTAAGGGAACTTGAGAATAAATTGAGAGAAACTTAGGGGGAGAGATGAATGGGATACCCAAAATTCTAGATAAAACTATTGGTTCCTTTCTATTTGAAGAAGAAACGAGGAACGAGGGAGATCTGAGAGAAAACGAAAAATGACCTTTGGACTGTTGCGCCGGTCTTTCCTAGCTCATACCTGGTAAAAAAATATCAAAAAACCTTTGTGCAAATGTCAACTATAGATGGTTGCGCATCCACAGAAATTATTTTTGAATGTTCCATTTTTACGGTGTCAATAGACTTTTTTTAAATGGAACACCCTGTATATTTTTAGTTGTTTCATTGTCATTTTTTAACCTCTGCATAGAAACCTATTCACTTTTTGTTTTTTTGGCAATATCAAATTTTTAATTTTTTCCGAATATTTGCCCATGAGCAACCACTTTGATAAATCGTAGGGACCTTGCTTTTAAAGTTAAGAAATACATTTAATCTGAACAAAAGGAAACACTTTGGTAATGAGAAAGTTGGAAAGTGTTCACATAACAATATTTCCAAATTTCAAAGCATCATAACTATTTTTTTTCAAATGGAACTACCACTATTTTATTTCTCTATTCGATAGTCTTGTGTGCTCTTTAATTTTTATAAGGGGTGTCCTGTGATTAAACCTCGTAGTTTTTAAGTTATTCAATATTTTTCACAAAAATAGTTAACATTAATTAATTACATGTTTATAAACAGAAGTAGGCCGTGAAAATAAAAAAAACAAAGAATGCCAGACAGTAAACAAGTGCCATATTTTTCTGATTTGCTGCAAGGGTAGGTACTCCTTATTTCGTAGTAAAATAAGATTATTTAAAAGGACTAGTTCATCTTTTTCGAAATTCGCCTTTTTAATTAATCTTATTTTACTACGAAATAGGGAGTACACTTGCAGCACATGATTTATTTGTGACACTTGTTTACTTTCTCACATTCTTTTGTTTTTTATTATCACGGTCTACACAGATTTATAAACATGTAATTGATTAATGTGAGAAATAAAATAGTGGTAGTTCCTTTGAAAAAAAAATAGTTATGACCTCGGTTATGACACTTTGAAATTTCGAAACTTTATTATTTTTTTGTGAACACTCTGTATCACTAAATCCATTTTTCTCGTTGCCAAAGTGTTTCCTTTTATTCCGATTAACATTATTGATTAAAGGTTTTTTAAATTTTAAAATTAAGTGGGGCTTGCTTATGGGCAATTATACGGAACAAAATAATTATTTGGTAACATTGACAAAAAGCTAAAAGTGAATAGGTTTCCAGACGTTAAAAAATGACATCGATACAACTAAAAATATACAGGGTGTTCCATTAAAAAAAAATCAGTAGTCTATTGACACCGTAGATGCGTAACCATCTATGGTTGACATTTGCATAAAAGGTTGTATGATATTTTTTACCAGGTATGAGCTAGGAAAGACCGACGCACTGTTGCGTGATCCTGTATAGAACACCCTGTATGTTTTACAACGACGCGACATTGGGATTGCGGTTGTCGATACGGTTCCTTTAATTAAATTAGAAAACTTGACTTAGCGATGACGCACCTACTTCGTTAAATTCCTTTGGAAGTGTCCAAAACATGCGGGCGGGCATTCCTAGTGAAAGTGGAATTAGCGATTGTCTAATTAAGGTCCATTAACCACACCATGTCGTGACTTAATGGTACCTATATGTGGCTTTTTCTAAATTAACGTTAAGCACAGGAAAGAAAGAGACGAGAAAATTAGAACCAAAATCTGCACTATACATAATGTATGTGAGATATCATTCAAAACACCGATTAAATATTAACTAACGCTACAATTTCCTGGACCAGTTTTAATTGATTAAGTTGTTTGTATATTAATGCTGAGCTGAGGGTCATATTGATTTGAATTATGACTGTTTCTAAAGCATGCAAGAGTTCACTGATCCAGGATCTTAGTTTATTCCAGAATTAGGAATACTAATAAAACATATGGGCACGCATAATATTCTGCCAGGTAGATACAGGCCGCTGTCAATATGATTTATTACTATTATGAGTATACAGGGTGAACATTTTGTCTGGAACACTGGATATATTTTCAAAACAAGATTTTTTCAAGAAACTTATAATATCCAAAACTACCAATCCTCGTTCCTTAAATTTGTGGCCAGTGGCGTACTTCTGCATGGTCAAAGGGGACATTTTTTTTAAAAAGGGAAATGTCAAAGGAATTAATTGTATCAAAAGTAATTAAAAATGCATAAGTAAATCTATAAGCTTAAAATGTACTTATAGTGGATGAACTGGACTATTCAATGGAAAGCACTATTTTTCGTGAGGTACTATTAAAGAATGAACTTTTGTAATACGACAACAAAAAAACATAATCAAACTAGTAAAATGATAAAATTAATCACATCTATTTTCGAAATTTTGAGTTTTTCCCTTAAATTTGATTATGTAATATAAGTCTTTTTATGCTGCTATATCGAAAAAATTGTGCTCCTTAATAATACATGTATTGAAAATAAGCAGATGCCATAAAAAAATGTCCCCCGTAACTACGCAGAAGTACGTCCCCCAATTTTTTTTTTACAATTTTCAATTCCATAAAAAACTTAAAAAAAATGGGTTCACCTTGTATAGTATACCTCTCATTTGACTCCATACAGTTTCGGGTTTGCGCATGCGCAGGCTTATTTTATTTATTTTTGTATGGCATTTGATACAATTGGAAGTGAATTTTGATTATTAATAAATCCCAGATTTTAAATTCATTTATTGTTTCAGGTAAGCGGATACTTCAGCTACATGGCATCAGAATGGCAAAAAAACTCGATGGTTTTTCTGAGTGAGGTTTGTGATTGTTTTTTTTTAGTTGGTATTAATTGTCTCAGGATGTAAATCTGAAAGCGTTTTGGGCATTCTGTAAAAGTATCAGGCCGAAGAACCGAGTCGTACAATGGGTTCGGATAAACACACAGTTAATTGATTGGCAATGAGAAATTTTTATTACGAAACCCCCCCCCCCTCTTTTTCAAAAATTGTACTTGGCAGCATTAAAGGCATGTGTATGCAAAATCTGAGAGCAGTTGGTTGTCGCATGTAAAGGCTATGCACGTTTTAGATTCAAAAATAGCACCACAGGAAATTATTTCGAGAGGGGGGGGGGGCTTGTGCATTGTTGCATATTGCAAACAGGTGTGCACAACTTCTGTGCAGATAAAGCGCAATTTTTTAAAAACTGAAATAGCTTAGTAAATGGTTGGTTATAAGGGGAGGAGGCCCTTTACACACAAACATTTAAAGATCACACTCGGATGCATCCAAAATCCTCCGACCCCCAACCCGTCTTTTGATCAGAAGACAGAAAGAAGGGCAGCAGTTCCTTTCGTTTGAAACCTTTAATTAGAATACCATGAAAGATGAAATTAATCCCCCCCTCCCTCCAATTTTCAAAGTTTAACGTGGCACCACTAAAGGCAATGCGTGTGCAAAATCTGAGACAATTGGTTGTCGTATGTACATTTTTTAATTCTTAAAAAATGCGCTAAACATTCCAGGATTCTAGTACCGTTCCCCTAAAAGTAGTTCAAAACCGTAGAAGTGGGTCCGGACGGAGGGACAAACGCAAACAAAAGCACATGTTTTATAATTCTTAAAAAAATGTGCTATTGTTTGCGTCTTGTCCGTCCGTCTGTCCGTTCGTCCGGACTCAATTCTGCGGTTTTGACCTACTGTTAGGGGAATGGTCCTAGTGTCTGGAATTTATGGCAATACGTAACTTACAGGCGGCCATCAAATTTCGGTGTCTCATCCCCCCCCCCCCCCCAATTTTGAAAGTAAAACGTACATATCTTTCATGCGACAACCAACTGGTCTCAGACTTTGCGTGCGTATGCCTTTAGTGGTGCCAAGTAAAATTTTTGAAAATGATAGATGGGAGGGGGGGGGGGAGATCGACCATACGTTCTACCCTTCATGGTATTCTCATCAACAGTTTCACTGAAATGAATTGGTTCGTACAAACTAGAACTTTTCTGCGCTACTCCTTTTCGAGATCAGTAGATGCCCGGAGGGAAGAGGGAGGGGGTAGAAATTAATGTTATCTTCATGGTATTCCAATTAAAGGTGTCAACAAAAGAAACTATTTTCTACCCACTACCGCCCTACTTTCTTAAATAAATAAAATAAAAAATAAATAAAAAAAAGAAAGAAAACATCGATAAATATAGACGTTATCCATTTAGTAAGTTTGTTCGGTTTTAAAAAATGCGGAGTTGTTGGGCACAATTTATACTTGTTCGGATTTTATATACAGGGTGTTCATTTGAAAACTTCCCACCACCGATTTATCGAAAACCACTGATTAAAGGAAAAAACGCCGAGACACGTCAAGGGATTAGTCAAGGGGGACAACTTTTTAACCAAAAACTACTTCACCCCCTTTCACCCTCTGCCCCCCAGGGTAATTCCCTTAACAATTTTAAATGACAAGTGGTATCGAGTAATAGCTCGTTTGAAAGGTCTTTCGAAGTCCTTTATTTTGACGTTGAAACGTTGATGCGGTTATCTACAGTGTGTCCTTTTTATTATTGCTGGGGCTACGAAATAGTAAATATGAAGCATTAGTTTTGCAAGATTACACTATGGTAACTTCATTACGCATTTGCAAATATGTGGACATAAGGAAGAATTGGGGTAATGTCCTAATTTTGTTGCGGAAAACTAATGGCTGAAATACATCCAGTATTAGTAAGCAACTCGTATATGCAATTACGGAAATGATGCCGTTTTTAAGTTACAAGGGCACTATTAATTGGTAACAGACCGTTATATTCCTCCTACTGTTACCGCTAAGTTTTCTTTGAAAGTTCTTCGCAATGGCTATGTACCGTTCCTTGTTGAAGGCATCACCTTGCAAGTCATTTACGCGAAATTACTCGACGAAACCCAAAGTAATTAGATTAGATTAGAACAGTCTACATGCATGTTTAATAAATACCTCGATAAATACGTCGCCGTGTATGTAATTTTATCAGGCAATGGACTGAATCAGAGGGTTAATGTTTTAAATTCAAATGATCTTTGTGTTGTCGTTTTTTGACTTGGTAGCTTTCCTGCGATTGTAATCAATACCAGTAAAATAACCTTGTGAAGTAACCGTGCTGATAAGGACAGTTCCTTTGTTTTGGTTTTGGTATTAATAACAAGGAAATATCGTGGTCTTGCCCTTTTTTATCTTTAAACTAAGATAGAGAGCAAAATTTTTCCTTTGAGTGGCCAAACTGTCTTTAGTGTAAGATGCCGTAATTTGGAAATGGAAAACGGCACTTACGCGCCACGTGCCGTTATGCAACTTGCACGTTTATTAATCTCGCCGCGAAATAAAAGCCTGGAAAGGCACCCTTTCGCACGTTTGTGCGAAGTGGAAAATGTTGTTACGCACAAGGAGCCCTATTAGGAAATTGCCGAGAATGAGTTGGCCTATTTCGTGTAATAGTGACGGAAATCGGGCGCAAGGATTATTTCATTGCTACCTACATTCGAACTTCCCTTGAACTGTTTATTTAAATTTGAGGAACCAAACTTTTGTTGAATACATTTCATGAGCGGGAACGTTTGCAGTATCGACGTGTAGTTGTCGATCGATCGAACTGTCTTAGAGACACAAAGGGCCCATGAAGCAGTCATTAAAGTTGGCGGCAAGACACCATCGAACTTATCACCGGGGGGTGTGGAAGGACCCCCCAGTATATACAAAGATCATAGTCTTTTCGCGAATGGATTTTCCTGGCGGGTATTCCTGAGACTCCGGTGTTATATTCTTCCCCAAAACCTAATTTGCTCGCTAATTAAATTTGGTTTATTTACTGGAATGCAGTATGGAAATGTCCAAAATTACCCTCGAAATTACCCTTATAACTAAGGGTTTTGACAGACCACAAAAGCACGAATTAATAGTCTTTAATGTTTTTACCGGTTGCCGTTTTTTTAATTAACACCTTATATAAACAAATTAGGTGCACAACTTTGATTAATGAACTGGTTTTTTAACACAACTTCGCACTCCAAATATAACGCAATGTAACGTGTTGCACCTGGGACCCCAACGCTTTCGTGATTTAAAATGCACTCGGCAATAGGCTAAGAGGTATACCTAGGCTAACTTCTGAGTATCTACCTTGTAAGAAATTTCACGAGGAGCATTTTCAGATAAAAATATTTCATCTAGCCCTAAAGGTCGCGATATATTTGCAAAAAACCACAAAAAGCCACGAAAATTGATGATTTTATGAATTTCCTAGGCTAAGAGGTACATCTAGGCTAACTTCTGAGTATCTACCTTGTATGAAATTTCACGAGAAATATTTTCAGCTAAAAATATTTCATATAGACCTCATAGATCGCGAGATATCAGCCAAAAAGGGCCAAAACACGGTTTTTGGGGGGTGGTGGGGTGGCTGGAGCCTTTAGCACAGGGTCTGGGGGGTGGGATTTTTAATATGTTGTTTCTGACACCTAACTGAACATATTCCACTATTTTTTTCTTTTCCACCTCAAAATGTCCAGTTTGCCAATTTTACAGTCTCTATCGCCTAGACTATTATAATCGACAGCGTGTTTTAGTTTTGAAGAGCTTTCGTGCTGATACAATAGCGAATATAAAACAAACGCGTAAAATTTCAAACGCGCGAATTTAAGCTTGATGACCAAGGAATAACTTGCGAATTACATACTATTACGGTAAATACGAACAATAGTGGAAATTTTAAACGCAAGAAACTAAATCCTATGACCCCAAAAACTAAAAGAATGGACTTAATTGAACTTTCAAAGGTACCATTCATTATACAAGATCTAAGAGTTTGTATCGACTGTCTTTTTCGTTTTCTTGCACGATTGATGATGCTACAATCATTATCATTAGTTCACTATCAAAAATCATTAAGAAATAGTAATTTTGAATTACGTAGGCGAATGCATGTTGTGAAATGCGAAATTAAAGAACGGTGACCCTTCTGTTTTGATTATAGCGAACGAACATCGTCAGATTTCTCCATAAAATATAATGTTGTCACATCTAATGGATGTGATAAATTCCGGTAGCGGTCCGACCCACTTAATCTACGGCTTTTTAATCTAAATTGCTTGACAGTTAGACTTGTGTGGATATCGTTATGACATGTATAGTGCATTTTCGATTAGATTAGAAATTCTCGATGGTTACATTACGGGATTCGAATTAAATTGAAGTTTTGGGGAATCTTCTGCAAGTGTCAATATTGGCGCTCGCCCAATGCGATGCACTCGACCAGCTTTTGCGTGTGAAAAGTGTATGTGCATCATTCTAAAACACGTGTAGAATCTATTATTGGCAATGGTGCTATACGAACACACGCTTCGAGCGAGCCGGGGACCTTTATATTACTATGTCCCCGTTTCAGCCCGGAAGTGGAAGAATCTGTTCTTGCATGATCTACATAAATTTGTGGGAAACGTTTTCGATGCTCTATATAAGTGTTTTGCAACGCGTTCGATTTTTCTTCATTGGCAATTTGTAAACCTTCAAAAGCTGGTATTTGGATAAACACTAGAAATGTTGTATTTAATTAGAATTCACTTTTTAATGAAAACGAGTTGTTTATATGACATGATAGGAAACGATTGGGATGCAGGTGTTGCCGTGTTGGTTGTGGTTCACGACACCAATTTACGGCTAATTAAAAAAATGCGTCGAAATCAGTAGGTATTTACCGATGCATTATTTAGGGTCCCTCACCTCTTAAAATTACGCTGGAGAGAACTTGTTTTCTAGACAAAAAGTATAATATCCCGACAGAGAAGGTTATTTTTCGCAAATATGCTCGAACAGGTGCTCCACAGATCATTTCCATACAATAAAAGGTAATAGGTACGAGGAAGATTCAAGCTGTAAGGTGCCATGTTTTCAAAGTAGGACCGTACCGTTTGTACCATAGGGAAAGCGTTGATTTTTCAAAACACTAATTAAGGTAACGTAATCTTTTTTGATTTATATAAAAAATAATGATCAGTTTTCTTTAAGAAATTGCATTAAATTTTTTTTGATTCTTAAAGGAGACGATTTTTCGTAAATGGGCCGAAAGGACTAAAATTGTATCGTGTTTAGTAAGAAGGAATTTAGATTAGTTTTCATATTTTTGCGATTTGAATGAGAATATTCCAATAATCAGTCCTAAAAGTTCTTTTAGTGCAAAGTCTCGCAAAGATTCAACAATATTTCTTGAAGATTTCTAGTCTTTAAAAGACTACAGGCTACAGGTATCTTCACCAAACATCAAGATTCATTAAAAGGGGTCTTTTTTGTACAAAGGATAGTTGGGAGATCGCTCTTGAGATTTTTAAATGCTATTAGTAGACCGTTAACACCTTCGAAAACGTAATAGGAGTTTCGAACATCCTTCAATTGTTAAATAAAATTCGTATATTAAACGCTCTTAAAAATTATTAAAAGCCTTAGGGATATTCAGGAGTATCAGGCTCGTACCTGCTGTTTAACCTTCATCTTGTAACGTAAATTTAATAAGGGAGATTTATAATTAATTAACGGTCTTAAAATGAATTGATTTATAACAATTAGAAGATTATTTATCACTCACATATACACAATTTATAACAGCGCGAACTACTTATTACTTCGGCGTTGAAATTGGAACTGTCTGAATCGTAATTCGATTTCCTTATATAGCAAATACCGGTCGATTTCGAATGTTCTCGAACAAACATGTCATATTTCCCGGAAAGATTGTGTCACATCAGCCTCCGTTCGACTAATCTGTCATGGCGCCTCGATGTCTATCGCGATTTAAATGTAATTAAGTCGGTTTTTGGACCACGCCCCCAACGGCGGCATTTGCGCCCCCCTTAATTCGACCAGTTCGAGTTTTGTGACTTATAAACAAAAGTGATATTAAATTACGTATTCATTTCAATTATTCAATACAAATGAAAAGATATTAGCTTATTCGTAAGTTTACATTTCACCCCTTTTTTTACTAACAAAGTTGCTGGTTTAAGTTGCACCTTTAAGGTCAACGACTACCTACTGAACGCTTTCTTTATCAGTTAAAGATCCATTTTCTTCATTTATTAGCGACGCGCCCTTGCTGTATCAGAGCGGTGCCGTTTATATCAGTGGCATTATTTTCATGAGCATGATAGCTCGTTGGAGAGAGAATTAAAAAATCTAACGAACGTCAGAAGTTAACATGTATTGTGTCAGAACATACTTTAGATTTGTAAATTAACCAATATTCTACTCCCGATAAAGATACAAACATTTCAACATTCAAACATTGCGATGATATTGGAAAATGATTAGGACAATAAAACGAAACGGATAATTTATGATTAATTCCGCAATGAAATCATTCACTCTGAAAAATTAGTCGGTCGCGGTCCACCTCCATGTTTGCTCGAAATGGACCATTTAGGAGTTAAAGGATTCCAATTTTGCATAATGCACAAATAAATCAAGAAACTTTGACACAAGACGTTAGTTAAGGCAGTGCGGAACTCTTATACTTTTCGTATAATTTATGTAAAAGCAAAAGGAGGACGACAATAACACCGGAGCTTAATTGAGGCGGCCTGTATCCCTAATCCCTCACAGTTTTTTTTTAAAAAGGGAAACTACGACACGAATCCCCCCTCGATCTGCACTGAATACTATTTGCGCGTATTGTGAATGCTAATTGCACATCCACGCACCTTCTTTACGAATGTAGCCATGACGCGCAAATTTACAATGTTATAATAACGTTAGGTAACCGCAGTTCTACTTTTTTATGCAAACTTTCCCCAACCTCCTTTTACTGAAAAATTTATGTTATCGATTAGCGGAGGCTTACAAAACCCTTGACATTCTGCCCATCAATGCAATGCGGCGGCATGGAATTATGTCAAGTTCATAAGGACGCAACTTTCGCCACCTTTACCTATCAATTACAGACGTAGGTAACGGATTACATCACGGCGCAGGACGCGTTACACGCAATCGTTGTAATTATAATCGGGCCACTTTAAAGCGTAGCTCGAGCTTAACCCGGCCTATTACGGAAACGCTATTTGGTTAATGTACCTTGAATAAATTTCGTTTCGTGTCTTTGGTTTTGTAAAAACTCAAACGGAGTAAATGGCAGTTGCAGAAATTCTAAAAGGCAAGCGGGTCGGCTACTGGTGAATGCTAAAACAAAATTTAAGCGCACAGCAATTTCGCTAAGCGGGAACAGCAAATGATCGGATTCGGTAGCGGTATCTACGGGAAAGCAAATGCAGGAAATCTAAACAATATCCGCCCTTATAATTAATGAAATGGAAAGTAACAAAAAGCTTACTGGAGCGGTAGAAATTTCTGTGCAAAAAAAAAGCAAAAGCTGTAGATACAGTGCGGTAAATTTAATGTAAAAGCAAAAATGAAACGGTATGAATGCTTTACTTTTTATAAAATTTGGTTATGCCATGGATGGGTCGACGCTTTTACCACCCGACACAGCGTATTCAGATAAGAACGTCCAAAAGTTACAACTTCCTTAATTAATTGTCATTTTAAACTTGGTAAGCAACAAAAACCGAAGAAAGCAGCTGAATTCTTTATTTAAATTCGATTTCTTCCGTTGCTTCGGATTCAATCCGCCTGATATTGATGCATTACGTATTTCGTTGCAGATGCACTGTTCGAATTTCGAAATAGAGGGAAGCCGTCTCGATGGGGGAGAAGTATTGGTTGCGATTGCGGCTCTGGTAACCGAAGGGCGGATTCCTGGCAAGTTGGCGGCGGCTAAAGGTGCCGGGTTTCACGAAGGACCGCACTGCGTACTCAAGAAGACATCTGATGAGCACGTGTGTAATTCCAGCGATCCCTTGGTAAGTGCGTGATTTATTAAGTTTCTCGCCCCCTTTTTAATATGTACTTATACTACTTTGATCCTAAACGAATGCGTCACCACTCGCTAGTTACACGACGCGCTTATTATAGTTTGAGTAATTTAAGATTTAATGGACGTTGACTTTTTAAGGAAGAGCACACGCACTTGATTGGATTACTTCACACATTTCAGAGTTGGTTATTTATGTAGCTGATTATTGAAATAATATTTGAATAAGTAGCGTAAATAACTTAGTACTTAGACGTACGAAAATCAATCTTACCGTGGCAAATTAACTTGTAGTAGGTACTCAGTTTAAGATTATCCTAGAATACACTGTGACAAGACAAGTGGTAAAACCGTCGCACTCACGCGGGCTGTTAAAGCGTGATTTTCACACGATAGATTATTAATGGGAAGGAGGCTTTTTACACCTAAACATTTAAAGGCCCCCTAGCATACATTCAAAATCCTCCGATACTCCATTCTGTAGATATTTGCACTGAAAGCTTTGACATCACCAATATTTCTTCCAGACGTCCCAATCGCTCTTTGTGAGTACCCTCTTCCGTTCTGGAGATGTAAGGGAATATATCCGATGACGATAAGGAATCGAGGAGGGGGATATAAGGGGCCAGAAAGAAGGACGGTAGTTGGTAGAAAACGGTTTCGGAGTAGAACACAAAAAATGCGCTAAAAATTGGTGTGCGGATAATTCCTGACAATTCACTCCCAGGAAAATTCACTTCAGGAAAATTCGCGCCTAGAATAATTCGCTCCCGTAGAATTCCTTTACTTAATACTTTAACAGATTGCCATTTCCAGAAAACCTTCATTAACGGGCGGCTTTGCAAATTAGTCCACTAATTTCCAACTCCTACACAGAAATAAATCTTTGTAACGAAGCGCCCAACTTCTTCTAGATACCGCGCGTAACGACTCCACAAATATACAGTGTGGCCATAACTTAGGGTATGAAACCCAACTTAAAGCGCTTCTAGATACCGCGCGTGCAGCAGAGCGGATCGACTCCACAAATATACAGTGTGGCCATAACTTAGGGTATGAAACATCAAGGCTGTATATGTTCGCTTTTTGGTCACAGAAGTTCATCCTTTTTGCATTCTGAGCCAAGCAAAATCATTAATTATTAATTTGCGCAGGCGCAAACTGCGCAGTCACCTTTTTTTATTAGAGAGGTGTATTTCTTATGGTTTCCGATTTCCCTATACTGTTCATTCTTATATATAGAGTGCGTTGAATATAACATGCACATTCTCCGTGGGATTTTGTATATTCATAGAACGTAGATTATTGGTGAAAATGTGCAGGAGATACACGTCTTGGATGTCTTATGAACATTCATACCGTCTTATAGCTCAGTGGCAGAGCGTTGGGCTATAAATCCGGAGGTCGGGTGTTCGAACCTGGTTTGAGACAGAGATGGGAATTTCCTTAAATCAGTTTCGAGCATTCTGCCGGCTACTCCGAATTAGGTTTTCCTGCAGTTTTCCTAATTCGTAAGGTAAATACCGGAGTAGTATAGAACAACTTAAGACCTTCTGCAGGAGCACCTCTAAAAAGCATTATGCGGGTCACTCTGTAATTGGGCGTAAGCCTATTGAGGGCCTAGAACAAGAGAGACAATAAATAAATAAATAAATAAATAAATTCTTGTACATGCTTCATAAATTGGTATACTGAGAAGTGGATATACCATGAATGTCTCAATAATATGCAAATATGTTCAGTAGAATACATATACATTCAAAATGGACGTTCCATAGAGGTTCCCCTAATGTACATTTCATCTGCACATAAACAAATTCTTTTTACTGAGTGAATTTTTCTGTTTCTTCAGCCTCTGTATCTTATGAAAATACGACAATGTTGCGTATGCTACAGGATTTACCTATTCGGCGATCATTACTTTTGTCAATGACTGTACTGTACTGGTATATTTTTCTATATGAAAGTTTTTTAACATTTTATTTCCCATAAGGCAGCATTCAGTTGTTTTTATTTCACAAAACAAATAAGCAACGAAAACAATTGAATTTTTTTATATGGCAGTATATCTTTTCATTAGGCCCATTTGATAAAGATTTTTTCTGTCTTTGTTGTCTTATTTAAGAAAATTTTTCAAAAAAAATTATTAGTTAGACATTCATTTCAAGCTTTCGCTTAGTTCACTGCCTTGCAGTTAATAATACAGATATTTTGAACACTTATCGCGATGGAAACCATATTGCTAATTTGATTTAGTCTCCAAGGTAATGACTAATGAGGTACTAACATGTTACATCATCGAAAAGAGAAAAAAAAACTATCGAATGAGCCTAATGAAAAGGTATACTGCCATTAAAAAAAATTCAATTGTTTTTCGTTACTCATCTGTTTTCTGAAATCAAAACAACTGAATGCTGCCTTATGACGGGTAATAAAATGTTAAACAACTTTCATATAGAAAAATTTTGTATACAATTGATATTTACCGATGTACCTATATACTATATTCTATACATAATGGGCACCCTGTATTTAAAGAAGGGATAAAATGCTTATGAAGTTATACAGGGTGTCCCAGGTAGAACGTACCATAGGGGAATGGCAATGTGTTTTTAGGATCCACGAGGCCTTTGAAATTAGCGTTCAACGTACTACTCCAATCAATCAATCTTTATTTGTCCGTATACCATAAATAGGTTTTGACACGTCAGTAAATATAGTAAATATTAAATTAGTACAATGCATATAAAAAGAATAATAAAAACAGTTTAAAATTTCAAATAAATAAAAGGTATACTGCATTCATTATAAGAAGGTAGTAGATGGCGCTGTGTTTGAAGATAAACACACACAGGAAAATTATAAAACGGCCCCAAATGATTGTAAAGTAGAAATATCCAGCACTGCAAACAGAAATAAATCTTGCTAATGACATTTCAACAGTTTAGTTGGCAACAGAAACTACCACCTTGCAAAATTCGCTACTCGTTTTATGTTTCAGTGTAATACTGACTCGTGTTTTAACCAATCACACTGAAAGTCAAAGTTTCCCTATGCTTTCTACCGCTACCTTCTTAAAATGAATACAGTATAGACAAACCATGTGGCTAAAACAGAATAATATAGATTATAAACAATTTAAAATTGTAGTTAAAAAGAGAGAGATAAAATATCAACAAGTAAAGGTAAAAATGACTAAAAAAATAAAATAAAAATAAATAATAAAAATACTACTACACAGGTACACAAAATTAAAGTAAACAAAACAATGAAATAAATAAATATTAAAATTATTTAATAGTTCTCCAAGGCGTATGTAAATATTCAGTTTCTTCTTTCTAGCATCAGGTAAGGGCAATAACGTACGTTGAACGCTAACTTCAAATACATATCTAAGGCCTCGTGGATGCTTCGCGAAAAAATACATTAATTCAGTTTACCTATGTGCGTTCAACCTGGGAGTTCTGGGACACACGGTATACATAAGATGCACATTTTGGATTTAAAAGGCACATCCCACATAGCAGACCTATATACATTGCATATACCATGTACATTCCACGTGGGATATTGTATATCCATAGAATGTGGAAAAGTATGTCGCAAATGTCCGATGTATGTGCATGGGATATAAGTTTGGAAGATTTCACATAATACATAGTATATACGTTTTGGACGTCTTATGTATATGCATCAGACATGCTATGTACATTGGAATACTGACAACTGGATATATCATGAATATTCCTGTAATATGCAAAAGATGTTCAATAGGATATTCTATGTATGTTGTATACATTCAGAATGGATGTTCTATAGAGATTCCTCTAACATTCGGGAAGTTTACTAGCGTCCATACCAGAGCTGGGCAGTATTCGATTTTGTAAATACTTTTTAGTATTCAAATCCTTTAAAGTATTCAAATACTTTGTAATTCACAAATATTTAGTCAATTTCGAAAGAAAATTCAAAGGGCTGTAACTTTTGAACTAGTAGCCCAATCTTGGAACTGTTTGAAATTAGTGATACAGGCCAGATTCTATAAGAAAATTTTTTTTCCGAGTCGTTCTGAGACAATTTTTTTTTTCGGGCCTCAAAAAAGGCAGTGTACAACCTTCCTTTTTTACCAAAAATCGACTACACCAAAATTTCTCGGGAAAACACTTTTTCTTATTAATTTTGGTGCGTAGAATCCAAATCATTTCGTACTTTTTCGATCAGACTTCTCAATCAAAAGTTATAGACTAGAAACCAATTTCGAAAGAAAATTCAAAGGGCTGTAACTTTTGAACTAGTAGCCCAATCTTGGAAGTGTTTGAAATTATTACTTTTACTCCCCTTAAATTTGTATATAACAATAGAAATATAAAAAAAGCTAACCCCATACAAAGTATAACTTGATTTTACTTTTTAAAGTAATTACTTTTCAAAGTATTCGAATACTTTTGAAAGTATTCGAATACATTCTAAAGTATTTGAATACTTTTCAATGTATCTGTATCTAGTATTTGCTTGTGCTGGACGTAAAAGTATTTAGTATTCAAATACTTTTGATTTGTGTAAAGTATTTACTATTTAGTATTCAAATACTTTTTGAAAATATTCTGCCCAGCTCTGGTCTATACCTTCATAAATAAATTCTTTTCACGGAGTGGAGCTTTTTGTTTATTAAGTCTCTTAGTGTACAATGGAAAATGTGCTTAAGGAATTATTATTGTTTTATTTAACACTGTAGTCTTGAGTCATTTTGATCATGTTCTTGTTCAACACTATAACAGCGCGAGTTCATAACAAATAAGTTGCTAACATACCTGCCATTCTTGTCCTTATATTAATTCCCATCCAGTCTTTACATCTCACTAGAACATATTTGCAACTTTAGATCATGCACACACGAAATAAAAATCATTACTTTCACTGTCAAAATTAGACAAACAAACTCATTAATAACTCGCAGAATAACACTCCTGATTTTAGAAAAATGAGCTGTATTTGCAATAGCACCTTACTATCTTCATCGCCGTAATTCACAGAAAATGAGACGCTAACGTTTGTAACGTCGGTAATACAGAACACGCATGTATCAAATCCAAAACGCATATACATAACATATAATCCCATGTATATACATAGCACATCCAAATTGTATATTTATAGAATATCCATACTGAACATAACATACATATGCCTATCCTATAATGAATATACATAGTATATACATAAGATGGACAGGATATTCCCTGTACATTATGGATTTATGTATATACATAAGATATCGAATGCTATGTGGGATACATAGGATATCGAATGGTATATGAGAGGTGTTTCCAGATTATCTTGGGCGTGCTTCATGACCTTATTAAAGAGACACAAATTCCTTCTTTTTTGTCGCGATCTCGATCTCTGCATTGAAAAATTGGGTTTCAATAAACAAATGACTGAACAAGGAATTCAGCAAACGGCGAGGGCAAAACATCAAATCCCCCCCATAAAGCCATCATGAATTAAGGCTAGACCCATTGCTGATGGTGCATCCAATAAAGGCTACATTATTGATCCAACAGTACGGATGGAAACATTTATTTTCCAAATCGTGCGTCGCGATGTTATATTACAATACGATAAGTAGAACAAAATCATAAAAAAGAAACCGTGTAAATTTAACAAATTGTATTTGCGGCGGGGGGAGGGAGATTAATAATAAAGCTCGTCAAGCCCTTCAAAGGATAACGATTATGTAATGTAATTCAGGTAACTATTACATTAATGAAGGCACTTTCGTTAACCATAAACGCACCAAATCGTGATTTCCTATTTAATACACCCAATCAACACATAAAATCTAAGTACTAGTTGGTTATATAATACCTTTTGAAAATGAGAAATAGCACGTTGATTGGTTCATTTGGGAATTACCATCGATCCATCTTTTACATTGAAAGTGTGGGTAGATAGGCAATCTGATTTACCTCCCGTTCTATTTTGAATTATTATGGTTTTCGATAGAATAAAATGCCTTTATTTATGCTAAAATGCATTGTTCAAGTGAACCGTGTTTTCCAAAAACAATACAAAGGTTAAAATATTCAACTCGCTGCAGGTCGAGGAGAAAATACTATAATATGCAAAATATTACTTGTATAGGTAACCTTCAGTTTGGTTCTCATATGGCTTTCATCCAGAATTATTTTTATGTACACATTTGTACTTAGCGTGCCATTTGATTCGTGTACATAATTAATTTAATAAAAAAGAGTGCCAAATAGACTAGACTGCAGTGTTACAGTACAATGAATTTTTTTGAATTTACCTAATATGTCCCACATACCTACATTCATATTCCACTTAACTAACGCAAAATTAGAAAGTAAAAGCCGGATGGTGGGTACCTACTATATTCATTAAACACGTTTTACTTAAGAGCTATAAATATAATGATAAGGAACGCAATTTTCATACTTGCTCAGTATTTTTGTCTGGTTATCTGGAGTGTTGTAACCTTCAATTAAAATTACTTCCAGTAGAAAAAAACAAAAACAAAATGCATATCCCAGGTTTTGAATTGGACTATTCCCGAAAATGGAAATCTACCAAGTCCTTGGGTCAAGAGAAAAAAGAATCTCGACTCTTGGACCATCACGCAAACATCTAATGTTACAAGCGAAGTGTGTAGAGTAGGTACACGTGCCAAAAAAGTAATTAATCACACATAAATCCACTTTATAAGCAATTTCATGGAACTTAAACCTAGTTAAAAATGTTGCGAAAGCCCTCGTAGGTACCTTTGTAAAGATAGTTGTGCAATAAAGTTATCGTTTACTGCGACATTGCACGGGCTGTAATTTGAAATAGATTAATCGCAAAAATGTGAAAATGTCGACATAAAATCGCTACCATTATTACATTGACATTGTAGGGTTAAATTGCTCAATTTACCTAGATTTTCCTATGCAAAAAGTGGGACAACGCAAATCAGTCTGTATAGTGTACAATTATTACAATCGCTATAAAACACGTGCAATTCACGCCTTCGTTTAAAAAAAAAACGAGTTAATTGCGGTAATACGAAACAAACCTTGAATACTTTCATTTACTGAACGGATGAAAGTATAAAGCTACTTTCTCGGTGAACATTTCACGCCGATGGTTCCCCTTCTCGAAGACAAAGTGTACAAATTGAAAATACAGGGTGATGTAACAAAACAATTGGGCCACTTATAAATTGTTGGCGTACTAGAAGTTCGCTGTTTCTACAAACCAAAACATTCCAAGTTGTTTTTTGAAACACCCTGTATAATGTGAGCAGAAGAACACTTTGCTGTATTTAAATATTACATTTAAAGAACAACTTTCTACTTGCCCCAGTGCTGAAATTTCAAACCTTCAGACGGACGAATGCAATTCATTGAGGTACAAGCTGCTGTTACATGCGGAATATGTCTGTTTGGCCGTTAGAAGTCTATGTGTACCTCAGTTTTATGCTATTTTTACTATACAAATTTTTCCTTTTATGGTTTTGTTTTGAGGCGTTCGACTCGGAAGAATATACAGGGTGTTTTTTTGGGAGCTTTAGTTGTTTCTGGGAAGGTAAAATAGGTAAGTTTTTGAAAATTTGTACTTAGGAGTTACGCTGAAGGCCGAATCGATGTAAAATATTTTCAAAACGGCCGCACTTCCGGAAACACCGGAAGTAGATAGTAACTTCGTTATTTTAAATAGCAACCCCAATTTTTTATTGGGTTTTTGGATTCTACGTGAAATTTCAGTTCTTTGGATACCCATATGTCGATATCTGTCATTTATGGTTTTTAAGTTATTTGGACTTTAAGAAAAAAAATGGCGGATGCAGATGGTACCTTGATAATTGATTACTTGAAAACGGTTGTAGTCATGGCATCCTATTTTTATCAGTGCATATAGAATGAATACAGCTTTCTTTTAGTGTACTTAAAAAAAGTTAAGTTGCGTAAGACCGCCCCTATGGAGATCCAAATTTATGAAACTTCAAAGACTAAAAACTCAGTTTTTTTAAATGGAATCACCATTTTCTTAATATTGCGTTAGATAAAGGATCGAAATGGGCATATTTCGACAATACATGTTCCTATAGCTATCTTTAACAGTTTCTGACTTATTCCCATTTTATTGAATTGACACTATTTTTTTCGAATTTTCTTTTTAGTATAGTATATATAACTTCATTGAGAAGTCTGATCGAAAAAGTACGAATTGATTTGGATTCTACGCACTCAAATTGATAAGAAAAAGTGTTTTCCCGAGAAATTTTGGTGTAGTCGATTTTTGGTAAAAAAGGAAGGTTATACACTGCCTTTTTTTGAGCCCCGAAAAAAAAATTGTCTCAGATCGACCCGGAAAAAAATTTTCTTATAGAATGTGGCCTGTAGAATCCATAATTTCAAACAGTTCCAAGATTGGGCTACTAGTTCAAAAGTTACAGCCCTTTGAATTTTCTTTCGAAATTGGTTTCTAGTCTATAACTTTTGATTGAGAAGTCTGATCGAAAAAGTACGAATTGTTTTGGATTCTACGCACCAAAATTAATAAGAAAAAGTGTTTTCCCGAGAAATTTTGGTGTAGTCGATTTTTGGTAAAAAAGGAAGGTTATACACTGCCTTTTTTTGAGCCCCGAAAAAAAAATTGTCTCAGATCGACCCGGAAAAAAAATTTTCTTATAGAATGTGGCCTGTAGAATCCATAATTTCAAACAGTTCCAAGATTGGGCTACTAGTTCAAAAGTTACAGCCCTTTGAATTTTTTTTCGAAATTGGTTTCTAGTCTATAACTTTTGATTGAGAAGTCTGATCGAAAAAGTACGAATTGTTTTGGATTCTACGCACCAAAATTAATAAGAAAAAGTGTTTTCCCGAGAAATTTTGGTGCAGTCGATTTTTGGTAAAAAAGGAAGGTTATACACTGCCTTTTTTTGAGCCCCGAAAAAAAAATTGTCTCAGATCGACCCGGAAAAAAAAATTTTCTTATAGAATGTGGCCTGTAGAATCCATAATTTCAAACAGTTCCAAGATTGGGCTACTAGTTCAAAAGTTACAGTCCTTTGAAATTTTTTCGAAATTGGTTTCTAGTCTATAACTTTTGATTGAGAAGTCTGATCGAAAAAGTACGAATTGATTTGGATTCTACGCACTCAAATTAATAAGAAAAAGTGTTTTCTCGAGAAATTTTGGTGTAGTCGATTTTTGGTAAAAAAGGAAGGTAATAACTGCCTTTTTTTGAGTCCCGAAAAAAAAATTGTCTCAGATCGACCCGGAAAAAATCGCCACCCGCCCCACCGTGCCAGTCCGGCCCTGTACCTTGCTTCTGATACTCTGAATATTGGTGTGAAAAACATTAAATTTTATTAAGTTTTTACTGTTTAAATCTCGAAAATTTGACCGTCTGCGTAACTGCTGCACATAGTCTTTTTGAAATTTAGCCCGTTATTTCGGTTGTCGTTCGCGGAAGAAAAAACCGAGTTATACTAACACCTTCCGGCCATATATCCGCGCACATTGCCTTTTCTAGATTCGAAAAGTTTATTACGATTTTAAAGGAGGCATATAGTTTTGGATGTTTTGATTTAAGTGCTTCGCATTGTATTTAGGGGGAAAAGTGCATATAAAAATTCAATTAGATCACTACACTTCGTATTCAGATGATATAAAGTACATACAACTAAATTTATATTCAATAGCAATGTACACAAACTCGTATGAGTAAATTCTTCAAAGCAAAACAAACTGGAACTGAAAAACAGCTACACATCTTGATATATCAAGTAGAGAACTGCCCCTTAATAACTAAAATTAAAGTGGTCCAAGACTCTCATCTTGTGGTGCCCCCAAAGATATGTTATTGTAATGTTGGGATTTAATTTTCAGTGTGTCAAGTACGAAAAAGTTCGAGAAGAGGTCTTAGATCTGTGGCAGAAGGGTATTCCATTATGTGTCGAGGTGCTACTGACCGCAAATTGCGCCTGCAAACCAAACGAAGATGAGGGATGCTGCTCCAACAATGTATTCGAACAAGCTGACTCTTCGAATTCTGGCCTTCTTTTAGAGCAATGGTTTTTCACTGTCAGTCACCGCAGGTACGAGTCTATTATTCGCACTAACCACTTTGAGTACTTACACTGTTTACTTTCAGGATTCACGATAAAACTCACGTTAACTTACAACAACTGATGAACGCCGTTCGTTCTCAGTTACATTTTTCACAAATATCGGCATGGTTATCTTCGAGTGACATCGATTTAAAGAATAACATTACATATCGTCTGAGCGTACCCGGTGAAACGTTCGAGGTTTCGCAGTTTACCTCCTCGGCCACGAAACACGATTTTCCGGTCACAGATATCGGCGGCGGCCTATTCGTACAAGTGTCTCTGTTAAGCTTGCCGAGGCTACCGAAGGTGCCAACTGCAAAATGCAATAAATGTGAACCTGTCCTAAGCATATCGTTCGACAAGATTCAAATTAGTAAAAATAAGCCGCAGAAGGACTTGGTCGACGATCGGATGTATACCTCTTGCACTTTGAAAGGGAAGCATCGCTGCGAGGACTTCGACGATATCGATTGTAGCTCAAAAAAAGAATCAAAATTGGGAAAGTTTAAGCGCATGTGCAATTATGCCAGTTGTCAGCCTTCCACTTCGAAATTTGCCGATTCGCCATCGGACCTTAGCTATACAAAGAGTAAATTTCATAACAGTATTGACTCGGAATTAAACGCGAACGATAAACGGTATTTGAACTCGAATGTAAAGCAAAAACTGAAGAATCCTAAGTTAGATTTGGAAGAGTCGGATGAGAAGCCGAGAGTAGAACAAAAAGACAAGGAACGTGATCTCAGTACGCAGAGTAAGGGGGATATTTTATTAAATGCCATTTTACGTAGCTGTCATTTACAAGGCGCTAGCGGTGCACATAACAGCGACAAAGTTGCGGAGAAATGTGATTATTCATGTGTTCAACAGTGTGGACGGGATGGTCCGCATTCATGTGCAAGTGTGAAGAAGTGTGAAAGTGATAAAATTAATAAATGTGATAATTCGAGCGCAAGTGGTGATATTTTTAGTACTAAGGACAAAGTCAAGTATAGTATATATGTTGATAAACATTGTGATAGCCCTATTCCAAAAATCAGATATAAAAAAATTAGAGATATTTCTAATCACTTAAATTCGGTTAAATTCAAAGCCAGACAGAGAATTATATTTTCCGACGATAACGACAGCAATAGCAGATCTCTTTCGCTCAGAGAGGACGAATCTTTATTAGACGACACAATTTGTACTTCCAGTGTCGTCGAAGAACCGCATAACGAAACAATAAAAAACCATAGTTTAAGCATCGACGTTCCATCCGCTTTCGAGCAGGCAAGGTTCAAGAAATCCTTGGACAATGCGACTTCAATGGTATTTCATTCTCGGACGGGATTACCGTTGACGAGTAGCCCGGCACCCGTACGAAGGGGGAAGTCCTGCTTCGATTTCGATTCCAGTATTAATTCCGTGTCTGCAATCGGAAAGTAAGTACCTATTAAATACGTTCTTGTATCTCAGAAATTAGTGCTAATAATTTGTTTATATATTCAAAATCAGTAAGTTGTTAAATAATTGTGAAACTGTCGTTTGGGTTGTGTTCAGTTTTGTTTACAATATTCTAAATGGCGAAAAAGAAATTTGATTCGGCTCCAAGAACCAATATCTTGAAGTGCTCCCCCTGAAATTCCCATAATCAGGCCCAACTGTGAATCTAAAGTCTAAACCATCTGGAGGTTGACAGGGACACAAAAAAGTTTCATCAAAATCCGTCCAGCCGTTCAGGAGGAGTTCTGTCACAAACACACATAGAGAAGAATTTTATATACAGGGTGCTCATTATGTATGGCTATGGAATATAGTATACAGTGTGTCCCAGATCGGGTGGGATTGCATGGGTAACTTTCTTAAAGATAGAGAATTGGTTAAATGGACAATGTTTTGCAGTTTTAGATGCTTATTTAAAATTTCCTTGTGGAAATTCAAAATGTCGAATAGGTTCGACTTAAATTCAAAAAAACTAAAATTGGTCATTTCCTTTAATGATTTATATCATCGAAAGTATAAGAGATATAAAAAAAAGTTTTATATACAAGTTACTGTGTTTAATACGCCTAATTTAGAATTGATGTCAAAAAAATTCAAGATGGCTACCTTCGAGGAACTTCTAAAAAAAACTTCCTAAAGTTAAATAGGCACCATATAGATTATTTGATAGATTTTTTAATTCTCTTTTCAACAAGTTATCATAACATAAGATTGAAAATAAGATACCAGTTATATCAACGGTTTTTATATTTTAATCAAGTAGGCTATGATGAATTAAAAAAAAACAAAACATAATCTATTCGAGGCAACACAACAATGAAAATAATTACATCAGATGTGTAAAATACTGGCCATTATTAGTGGAAGTGTCTTTAAATGTGTTTAACTGGATAATGGCATGGCATTTTTTTCGAGGGGATAGTTTGTAGTTATTCCGGTAGTCCGGGTTTTAGACTACTGAGATATCTATGAGTTTCTGTCAAAACAAGATAAACTTTTAAGGCGCCAATCAGCTTTGGTTACAATTTTTTAAAACACCGAATCCTCATTAAACTTGGAGTTATTGAAAATTGTCTGGTGCTTTTTTTGCATTCCTGCTCATAATACCAACATTGAAAGAATATTTTCACTAGTGGCATAACAGTGGACCAAAGAAAGGAATTTTTCCAATACCTACATTGTTTTCTTGAATTTAATTCCTAATTTTTGTACATTAACAGGTAATTTTAATCCCTAGAGATTAATAAAGTTTTAATCCCTCATTTTTGTTTTCCTGTAAACAATTCATGGAAAAATGGATTTAAATCGATCGGTATTGGAAAAAAATAGTATAAGCCACACTGGATTAAACTAGTTTTTGTTCCCTTAAAAATATTACAAAAATATTAAACCATTCTCTCAGGAACAAAAACTCTTTTTAATCCCTTGTTCCTTTTTACTATTATTGAAATTGAAACAGTCTAGTCAGTGATAAAAATAAAGTAGAATTTCAAAGACTATTTTTTTAGACAATATTTTTTCTAAAATTCAGTTGATATGTCCGGGTTTATAATCCCTAAATCCGAGGTTTTCACGCTTCCTGTCCTAGTTGGCAGAGTTTTGAGATGGCAACCCTAGATACAATGGTCAATAAGTGACGTCATAAAAGTCAACATTTTTCTACGCCTACTTATATAAATTTTGGAGGGAGTTGTAACTCCCAAACCCCCCTCCCATGAGTGCGCCCCTGATATTTTAAACATCTGATGTAATTACTTTCATCGTTTTGTTACCTAGAATAGATTTTGTTTTGTTTTTTTTTAAATTCACCATAGCCTACTTGATTAAGATATAAAAACCGTTGATATAGCTGGTATCTTATTTTCAATCTTATGCTATGATAGCCCGTTGAAAAGAGAATTAAAAAATCTATCAAATAATCTAAAAATCCAATATGGCGCCTATTTAACTTTAAGAAGTTGGTAAATGTTCTTCGAAGGTAGTCATCTTGAATTTTTTTTGACATCAATTCTAAATTAAGCGTATTAAAGATAATAACTTTTATATAAAACTGTTTTTTATATCTCTTATACTTTCGATGATATAAGACATTAAAGGAAATGACCAATTTTAGTTTTTTTGAATTTACGTCGAACCTATTCGACATTTTCAATTTCCACAAGGAAATTTTAAATAAGCATCTAAAACTGCAAAACATTGTCCATTTAACCAATTCTATATCTTTAATAATAAGAAAGTTACCTGTGAAATCCCACCCGATCTGGGACACATTGTATATCGGTAAATATTAAATGTATACAAAATTTTTCTATATGAAAGTTGTTTAACTTTTATTTTCCATAATTAAGGCAGCATTCAGTTGTTTTTATTTCAGAAAACAAATGAGTAACGAAAAAAAAATTGAATTTTTTTTAATGGCAGTGCACATTTTCATTAGGCTCATTTCATATTTTTTTTCTCTTTTCAATGATATAGCACGTTAGCACCCGTGTAGAAGAAATAAATATAAGTTTGCCCGAGGTGTGGCGTATGTCGGTTCACATTGTCGTGCAGTCCGACTGTCGCTTTTTTAACAGGGCGTAGATTAAGGGTCGGCGATTAGTGAGAATTATGAAATTTCGGCCAAAAGCTCTCGATCAAAAGCACTGTGGAGTCCCTCTGTGTGAGTTTTCTTCAGAAGAAATCAAGTAGGCGGAAAATTGAAACGACGACGGTGCAGTATTGGAGTCACGAACTTATAAATTAAGATGGACTGCTAATGCTGAATTGACAAATGACACCTACATGGGGGCAGCCATGATGTGCACTCACTTGGCGCGAAATTCAAATCAGCTAATAAACAAGCATTAATCTCACGTTTTCTAAATAAATTACTATGGCACATGTCATTTTCCAAGGCTGCAATAGTCTCAAAAGTTGAGCACTAGGAAAATTCCCCTAGAAAATAACTAAAACGTGCACATCATGGCCGCGCCCATGCTAGGGACATTTCTACCTCTATGCAACTGTTTGATCAGCAGTCCATTAAATTTATAAGTTCGTGATTGGAGTGCTCGTCTGGGCTGGTAACATGTCGGCACGTTCTGAAGATCAAAGTTGAATTGTGGCAACCCTGTGGGCGATATTTAAACGTTTGGACTCGCAGGATAGTGACCAAACCGCGTGGACCAATCAGGATACGTTATTATGGAGTCTATCGTGCGGTAGCCACGTGCGCGACAGTTCAAATTTAAAGGGGGGGCGACGACGATCTCGACATTTCACTCCGCTCCCCCTTTTTCACCCCCAAAAGCAATTTTATTAGTTCGAAGATATCTAGATATCTGGGACCTAGAACTATTTTTGTCTTTTTTTTGGAAATGTTAACTTCTAGTAAAAGCGACCATATCGCATATTTTAAACATTATGTATGAGCATGCGCACATTAAGTTTATTATTTACAAGAATATTTATACCATGACTTATTTTCCTTTGTACAGGGTGGCCAAATAAGAATGCGAGGTACTGTATCTGGGAACCTATCCATTGTAGAGGCTTGCGGTAAAAAAATTTATTACTAAAACGGCCACGAGAAAAACCTGGAAAATATTTTGAAGTTTCTGCAATGGCCGCTAGGTTGCGTAACTGCAATCTGGAATAAAAAAAAAATGATTTTTCTGTGAATTCTGCTATATTAACCTAACAAAAAAATGTCCTGTCTTTGAAGTTGACGATAATCTGAATCTTTTTTGTTTGACAATTTTTCCTGTATCTCTAAAAATGAAGTCGTGGGGGGGTATTCAAAGGTTCCCGTAAAGAACACCCTGTATCTTCGAAACGACTGAGCCGATTTCAACAAACTCGGGTTAATTGAAAAGAGTTATTCTTCGGCTATAAATATTATAATATTTGAAGTTTTGTTAGTTTCACATATCGCCGCTTGAGGGCTTTTTTCGACATTCCGACCGAAATGGTTAATTTTCTCAAAAAAATTAAATGCGTTGGTTTGATTTTTTTTTCATGAAAAAGTAGCTAAATGATGCCTAAACAAGCTTGCGAAAACCCCATCTGATATCTTGCTCCGAACCTAAAATTTAGGCCAAAGAAAGTTTGATACCCTCAAAATTTTATTTTTATTATATAATTTGTGGCCCTATGGTGGATCGATTTAAAAAAGGAAGCTTTTAATGCCGCCGTAAATGCCCGAAATGCTGGCCACCACGATATAAATATATATATATATATATATCTCAAGATTTCGAGATGCTGTTTTCGCGAGTTTGTTTAGGCATCATTTAGATACTTTTTCATGAATAAAAATCGAACCAATGCATTTAATTTTTTTGAGAAAATTAACCATTTTTGTCGGAATGTTGAAAAAAGCCCTCAAGCGGTGATATGTGAAACTAACAAAACTTCAAATAGTATAATATTTGTAGCTGAAGAATAGCTCTTTTGAACTAACTCGAGTTTGTTTAAATCGGCTCAGCCATTTCGAATATACAGAGTGTTCTTTACGGAAACCTTTGAATACCCCCCACCACTTCATTTTTAGAGATACAGGAAAAATTGTCAAACAAAAATTATTCAGATTATCGTCAACTTCAAAGACCGGACATTTTTTTGTTATGATAGCGGAATTCACAGAAACATCAGTTTTTTTAATTCCAGATTGCAGTTACGCCTCCTAGCGGTCATTGCAGAAACTTAAAAATTTTTTTTTCAGGTTTTTCTCTTGGCCATTTTAGTAATAAATTTTTTTACCGCAAGCCTCTGCGATGGATAGATTCTCGGATACAGTACCTCGCATTCTTAGTTGGCCACCCTGTACACATAAATAGTCTGTTACTTGGCATAGTTATAAAACCCTCTTTTCATTTTTTTAATCAACTGCCGTTCTTTCATGAGCAAAAAAATTTTTTGAATACATAAACAAATGAGCACTAATTTTTTCTGTAATTGAGTGGATGTGTACGAGTATCACATGTCCATTTAATTTTCAGCGCCCTATTCTCATCGGCGAGCGACGAGGATAGTGAGAGTGACGGTAGCATTGTTTCGCCATGCAGCCCTGATTTCTATTTGCTTCCTAAGAGGGAGCCACTGACACCCAAGTGCTACAGAAGACGACATCCTCACAACTTGTTAGGTTGGTAATAGATTCAGGGCTTATCGGTCGCCGATCAACAGCGATTTATTATCAGTGTACACATTGGCAGGACTTGCCGTAAATGTACGTACTTTCCGTAGTTTCAAATAAATATGACGAAAGTGTTTTGGACAGTGGGTACGTAAATGAGATTCGCCACTTTTTTTCCATAAAAAATTCCGAATACAAGGTCACACTTTCAGATTCAATTCCAATGTGACTTTTTATTCGAAACGTTCTTCTAATGGAAGGCTTAAAAATTTACAATTATACCAAGCACTTTCCTCACAAACACATTACTTTATTTTACAAATTTATTTCACTTTCGAATATTTGTTTATTGTAGACTATGTAATAGATAATTATAATAGGATACATGGAAGGCCTTGGAAGTACTTATACAAATAATTCTTTCTTATTGGTAACATTAACGGGAAAGTAAAACAAGCTGGCAAAGGATTGTGAGAGAGCACATTTTGAATTGTGTGTTCAAGATGACCAAATTAGTGATTATTTTACTAACATGAAGACGATTACGTTTCTTTTTTTAAAATTGTCTAGTCCGCTCGACTTCCGGTACTAAAATTAACGGTGCAGACATTTACGCCCTCTTTTAAAATAACCCGAGATAGTCCCGTTTATTCTTCATTCTTCTCGGCAAAAACCACTTGAAATTCAACATCGTTATTAACCCGCCGACACTCGAAATTCCTCTACGACGCCAGAGTTGATGAAACACTTGCATCGCTTATCTCGCACGCGGCGTTGTTTGTCGAAAAACCAATTAATCTTGTCCGATAACAACTTGCGAAAAATTTCGAATGGATGTTCCCTAAGTTACCCGCTTTAAATTTATGATACAAACTAAATTTAATTAACAGAATTTAAACACTTATTAAAGGAAGAGCCATAGGTTAATTTTTATCTAGAAGTTTGTCCTAATTGCTATTTTTAAGTAGTAATTATACCTATTGGATAAATTTAGGGTTGATTTTTCATGGTTCAGTTAAACTTATTAGACAGTTAATTTCCAGGGAAACAAATGCATTGTTAGAGAAGGTTCAACTGAACCATTCAATTTAATTAGAGTATATTTAACTGTGAGGCGGTCCTAATTAGGAACGACTTGCTATTAAATGTTACCCCATCAGGTACATAATTAATAAAAACGGGAAAATGTATGCATTTTTATCTTCTTTTACTATGTTTAACTCCTTCTTTGTTCTATTTCATGTTATATTAAGTGTTGTAAATGTTCAAATTTAAGATAATTAACTTTAGTAAGTACAAAACCGCGCAAAGAGGCTCTCGGTCTAATTTTACACTTTGAATTGTTTAGGAACTTTTGAGGAATCGGTTTTAAATGGACGCCTCGAGCCCGTTTCCACCGTTCACGGATTTACCGCCGAATTGGGTGCGAGCGGCGCATTCGTTCCCGAGCATTTGGTACTTCCAGTTACTGTGTTCTTTTACAATTTGGGAGATAACGAGAAAGTGTCCTCGCCATATTTGGTAAGATTCTCTAAGTACTTTTGACCCCGTTATTTAACCGTGATGCTTTTTCAGGGACACATAAATTTGGGACGAAAGGGATATCAGGTTCCCAAATCCGGCACGTTGCAAGTGACACTGTTTAATCCCTTGGGAACTGTCGTGAAAATGTTTGTTATAATGTACGATTTGAACGAAATGCCTCCGAACTCGCAGACATTCATTCGACAGCGTACTTTATACATGCCGACTGGCTGTACGGATAAGAATTCGGAATGGGGACCTAAGTGGTTACGCTACCTTATTCACTTAAGGTTTATTTTTTAAAAACGTTCAACTGGGATTCTAATATTTACTTTTCAGATTTATGAGCTCCAAATCGGGTCGAATTTATCTACATACGGATATACGGATGATAATTTTTCGAAAGTCGGATCTCGATACAGCAACTGCACATGGTATTGATATGTCCTACGAATTACGCAGCTTCACCCACTTACCTTCGAACCCTCGATTCTCTTCAAGAAAGTAGAAACACGAATAAAATGTACGCATATTATTTGCACTTGCACTTATATTTTCATAAAAATTGTTACTTTGTACAGAAAGAAATTATTTTTCAAGGCATTCGTTGGAACGTAACGTATTGGAGTGAGGGCATTAATATGCGACATTTTATTTAGTTGCACAATTTGGCTCCTTCACCTATTACAAAATTAGTTTTTTAATCTCGCTGTATCACAAATTTATTTTATGGAAAACGAGTATATTTTTAGTTTAGTGCGGTGAACGAATTGCAGCCGTATTTATCCTTAGTTTTTGAGTATTTTTTGCGTCATTAGAACTACCTAATTACTGGCAGAGTTGTAGAAGTGACCGGAATTTGGCTTATAATGTCGATTGAGTTTTTGGTTCGAGAAAATTTTCTGTTTTGTCAGTTACAAGGTAAACATTCTTCTTTGTTTAACTGTTGATGTTTATATTTTGAAATAGCGTTAGCTGGAATATTATGCCTTAGTTTGTAAGATGTGCTAACCTTATGTTGTTGTTTAATTGAATGGAGTATATTTTATTGATATAGGATTAGAAAACTTCAAACAAATTACAGTAAAAACTATTTATTATATACACTATAAAAATGTAATTTTTGTATTAGCATATTCAGTAAAGGTGTGCAAAAATTAAAATTGCGTATTGGTTTACGGCCTGGTTGGCAAATTTCAAATTTGTATAACGGGATCGCATATTATCTTCCGTTGGAAAAGTTCAACTCTTATGAAGATCCTAATTTTACTTATTTTTGTTTATAAGTTTTTTATTCAGATGTATTATTTATTAATAATGAATTAGTGTGTGGAAAAATCGATCAAGTGGCACGAGCAGGCAGACAGAAACTTGGACAGGACGACAGTAGATCTCGACATTCCAAGGATTCCCAAATAAAACTATTTCATTTATTTATTCTTAGGTATTCTCCTAATTTTAGGTACTGTGAAACAATTTAAATTTCAACAAAATACGTGTTGCATGTGCCTTTTTTTTTGGCCGGAAATAAAAATTGTCTCAGATCGGCAGGAAAAAAAATTTCCTTATAGAATGTGGCCTGTAGAATCCATAATTTCAAACAGTTCCAAGATTGGGCTACTAGATCAAAAGTTACAGCCCTTTTAAATTTTCTTTCGAAATTGGTTTCTAGTCCATAACTTTTGATTGAGAAGTCTAATCGAAAAAGTACGAATTGTTTTGGATTCTACGCACCAAAATTAATACGAAAAAGTGTTTTCCCGAGAAATTTTGGTGTAGTCGATTTTTGGTAAAAAAGGAAGGTTATACACTGCCTTTTTTTGAGCCCCGAAATAAAAATTGTCTCAGATCGGCCCGGAAAAAAATTTTCTTATAGAATGTGGCCTGTAGAATCCATAATTTCAAACAGTTCCAAGATTGGGCTACTAGTTCAAAAGTTACAGCCCTTTGAATTTTTTTTCTAAATTGGTTTCTAGTCTATAACTTTTGATTGAGAAGTCTGATCGAAAAAGTACGAATTGATTTGGATTCTACGCACCCAAATTAATAAGAAAAAGTGTTTTCCAGAGAAATTTTGGTGTAGTCGATTTTTGGTAAAAAAGGAAGGTTATAATACTGCCTTTTTTTTTGGCCGGAAATAAAAATTGTCTCAGATCGGCCGGAAAAAAAATTTCCTTATAGAATGTGGCCTGTAGAATCCATAATTTCAAACAGTTCCAAGATTGGGCTACTAGTTCAAAAGTTACAGCCCTTTGAATTTTACGTTTTCGAAATTGGTTTCTAGTCGGAAATATAACATGAAAAAAAATTTCCTTATGGAATGTGGCCTGTAGAATCCATAATTTCAAACAGTTCCAAGATTGGGCTACTAGTTCAAAAGTTACAGCCCTTTGAATTTTTTTCAAATTGGTTTCTAGTCTATAACTTTTGATTGAGAAGTCTGCTCGAAAAAGTACGAATTGATTTGGATTCTACGCACCCAAATTAAAAAGAAAAAGTGTTTTCCCGAGAAATTTTGGTGTAGTCGATTTTTGGTAAAAAAGGAAGGTTATACACTGCCTTTTTTTGAACCCCGAAATAAAAATTGTCTCAGATCGACCCGGAAAAAAATTTTCTTATAGAATGTGGCCTGTAGAATCCATAATTTCAAACAGTTCCAAGTTTGGGCTACTAGTTCAAAAGTTACAGCCCTTTGAATTTTTTTTCGAAATTGGTTTCTAGTCTATAACTTTTGATTGAGAAGTCTGATCGAAAAAGTACGAAATGATTTAGATTCTACGCACCAAAATTAATATGCAAAAGTGTTTTCCCGAGAAATTTTGGTGTAGTCGATTTTTGGTAAAAAAGTAAGGTTGTACACTGCCTTTTTTTTACAACCCGCGGGCGGATCAATTGCAGCGTTAATTACGCTAGCGGCATTTGTGGCAATCGTTTAAGAAATATGCAACCCTTTTTGCGTTTTGTCCGTCTGTCCGGACTACTTTTAGGGGAATGGTCCTGCATCCTGTACGTGCATAACTTTTATCTAGGGGACAACCAATTTGTCTCAGATTTTGCATACGCATGCCTCAGTGCAAGTGCCATGTAAAGATTTTGAAATTGAGAGGGGGGCTTTCTACTCTTCATGGTATTCTAATGAAAGGTCTCCTCGAAATAAGGATTTGGTTTATACAAACTATAACTGTTTTTCGCGACTCCTTTTCAAGATCAGAGGGCGACAGGGGGAAGTCATAAATTGTTATCTTTTATTAGGGTAAGTAGGTACCTGCTTTATTTAAAGGTTTCAACTGTTTTCTACCTGCTACCGCCCTTCTCTCCTTCCCTTATTAAAATTGGGGGGCAAAGGGGGCAGTGACTTTATTCTCATGGTACTCTAATGAAAGGAATTAATTTCACGACCCATACTTTTCCTCCACCCTTTACCGTGAAGAGTGTTTCACAAAGGGCGATTGGTAATGTCGAATTTGTATCTTGAAAAAGGTTTATCGGCGAAAATGAGGTAAAATGAATTGGTCTCGAGTACTCAAAAAGGGCAAGTGGAAATTCTGGATGAGACACATCTATTCATGATGTTAAAACTACCTACACATGATGGAAACAGCAGATGGAAGCAGTTTTTTGAACATATAAACAAAATCGTAATGTGTGTATTTATATTTAATCAAAACATGAACATTTATGCGAGATACATTTAAAATTTCTCAGGAAAAGTATTAATTTCATTTATAAGTTGTTTTAATACTACAGGTAAAGTGAATCGGTCATTATCTAAATTACAACTTAAGTAAACATTTTTTTTTAATTTCTTACACAGGCCCATAGCCATAGTTTCGGTGTCATATTCTGATAGATTACCAACAAGTTGTGTGCCTATCGGTTTATTATTACTATTTAATACCAAAGATAAATTGCTGAAGTGAAATTCGTCTTCGTAATTAACGCAAACAAACGTCGAAGTTTTCATCTTAATAACTTGGAACACTATTCTTCGATTGTTTACTTGACCATGGAAAGTGTGCAGCGTGAATGTGGACGGTTTAAAAATTATAGCAGGTTTTTCGGAGTCTCTGGTTGGGGTGTCCATTTCTTCATTGTCTAGATTTTTAAAGAAGTTGTCTTAAGGTTTAACTATTTTCTTTTTTCACAGTAAAAGTAAAATTCTGTGTACTTTTTGAACTATCATCTATTATTTAAGGTTATAATAAGTGTCATAAAGAAAACAAGAAGTTAGAGGAATGCGGAGGGAAAGAGCGTATAAAATTTATGAATCCAGTGCCGTACATAGAGTTGATCCGTAGATGTATGAAATGGTCTATGCATTGATGCACAGTTTTGAATTTTGATACAAAAGTACTAACTAAGGGGCCTATTCTCTAACGCATAACGATGTTGCTACATAGCGAATATCGTTCGGCAACGACTTTCTCTATTCTGTATGACCATTGAATAATAAATCTGAATTATTATTCAATGGTATGACATATAACATATGACAGTGATACGGCATATATCTGTCCTTCAAGATCAAATCGTTACCATTACGATTACGATATCGTTTGTTAATGACAATATACAGAATAGACCCCTAAAGGTGTTCCAAAAGAATCTATCCTTGGATCTGTGATCGAAAGCTCTCACACTAACAAAAATAAAAAGCACGAATTAGGCCCCTTGAATTTTTTTTCGAAATTGGTTTCTAGTCTATAACTTTTGATCGAGAAGTCTAATCGAAAAAGTACGAATTGTTTTGAATTCTACGCACCAAAATTAATAAGAAAAAGTGTTTTCCCGAGAAATTTTGGTGTAGTCGATTTTTGGGCTTTTGTTTATGTAATTAGTACACGTGAGATGGCCTCACTGGTAATCGCTATACTTTTCGAAATTATTTTCTGGTAATGGTTGAACAAGTTCCAATGAGATGACGCCACGTGCGTAATTACCTTCTAAAGAACATTTCAATTTATTCACTTAATAGTCACGTCCCACTCAATTTTCCTTAAACGGCAGTTCAAAATTTGCAATTTCTGGTTAGATCTGTATCCCCAGGGTCTTAAAGGGCGCCACCGTCGCTTTTTAGTTTATCGAGATTTCCCCAGGGTATTAAATGGCGCCACCGTCGCTTTTTAGTTCACAGAGATTTCCTCAGGGTATTAAAGGGCACCACCGTAGCTTTTTAGTTCATCTAAATTTCCCCAGGGTCTTAAATGGCGCCAACGTCGCTTTTTAGTTTATCGAGATTTCCCCAGGGTATTAAAGGGCGCCACCGTAGCTTTTTAGTTCATCGAGATTTCTCCAGGGTATTAAATGGCGCCACCGTCGCTTTTTTGTTCAGCGAGATTTCCCCAGGGTCTTAAATGGCGCCACCGTCGCTTTTTAGTTTATCGAGATTTCCCCAGGGTATTAAAGGGCGCCACCGTAGCTTTTTAGTTCATCGAGATTTCTCCAGGGTATTAAATGGCGCCACCGTCGCTTTTTTGTTCAGCGAGATTTCCCCAGGGTCTTAAATGGCGCCACCGTCGCTTTTTAGTTTATCGAGA